CTGTTACACCCCATTTATGTGTGTGTGTGTATGTATTTATGTATGTACGTGTGTACGTGTGTGTGTGAGTTTGTGTGTGTATGTGTGTGTGTGTGTGTGTGTTTGTGTGTGTGTGTATGTATGTGTATATGTGTTTGTATGTATGTAGGTATGTGTACGTGTTTATGTGTATGTATTTATGTATGTATGTATGTATGTATGTATGTGTACGTGTGTGTGTTTATGTGTGTGTGTGTTTGTATGTGTGTGTGTGTGTGTGTATGTGTTTGTATGTATGTGTACGTGTGTGTTTATGTGTGTGTGTGTGTGTGTATGTATTTATGTATGTATGTGTGTGCGTGTTTTTTTATGTGTGTGTTTGTTTGTGTGTGTGTATGTATGTATATGTCTGTGTGTGTGTGTATGTATTGGTATATATAAATGAGCCAATTATATACATTATATACATTTATAGTTAGATAATAATTACTTAAAGTACTTTTATATATGTATTTATATATTTAGACATTTTTACATGTATATGTTTATACATAAAAATGTGTACAAAAAGTAACATAAATGTATAATGGGACACTTTTGTGTTCCTCATATTGTTTTTGTGTGGCCCACGGCGCTGGTTTGTGCTGGTGTTTTCGGCTTAAAAAATAACAAGTCTTAAAATGCTAATGTATCAAACACGCACAGGAATTTAACGGTTGACTTGAGTTAACGGTGTATGGAACTAATTTGCGCTCCTGTTTTAGGGCTACAACCGAACATTGTAATAAGCCTGAGGATTTATGTCCATATGAAACCAGGCTGCGCCCTAATTACAACACGACTGCTTTTTCAATCATAACTTTTCACATTAACTGTAGTTGTGGCGATCAGCCAGCATGTGTGTGAATGCATGCACAAGAGTCTCTAGATAATGCATCTGTTTTGGTGGCATCCTCACAGCAGCTTTCAGATGTATGGATTGTGATTTGCTCCTTTCCTTTTCTTAGGTCTCTCTTCTTTAACCTCGGTTGCTCAACCAGACCTCGTTCCTGGCCCGTGTCCCATACCTCTTGTTTTTAATTTCTGAATGCTATGTTACAGCGACTGGGCAGAGCCCCCAATTTTTTTCCATCTCACTTCTGTTTTTCAGTTTGGCACGCTCACAGGAAGTGATGACGAATTATATTGTATTAATCCCATAAGGGAGTCCCCAGTTCATTATTTTATTTTTTATTTTTTTGCTACGCTGAGCTCAAGTTTTTTTTATTCTCATAGGAGCTTTAACAGGTATAAGACCTCGCATAGTTATGTTTTATTAGCTCAAATCCTTGTTTATGCACGATCCAGCAGATATCTTGGAAGTGGAATAGTAATGTAATATGTTTAATATAATATGTTTAAATGAATTGCCATTTAGAAGTCAGTGTTTTCAAAGCAAGTCATAGTAGACCAGTCACAATGGCTGTGTTTCCAGGAAGTGCTTTGCCCTTTAGCACAGTGCTGTAGCTAGAATATGATCTCAGGGAGTCTCCACTGCTGCTACGTTTCATTCTTTTGTTTCATCAGCATTTATGCATTTGGCAGATGCTTTTATCCAAAGGGGCTTACATTGCATTGAAGCCATACATTAGATCAGTTCATGTATTCCCTAGGAATCAAACCCATGACAATGGTGTGTGTGTTTTTCCCCCAGAAAACAAGACTTCTCATTATCTTTTTCTAATCAATATGGTTTTTATTATTTTTTATTTCAGTTTTAGTTAGTACTGTACATCAAGTTAAACGAAGTGAAAATAAAAAATGTTGCCTTGGCAACTAGCGTAAGTTGTTTTTTTGTTTTTTTAAACAATATTTGATATATTTTTAAAGGTAACATGTATAATATTTGTTCATAATTTTTTGAAAAGAGAACATTTCTGCCAATGGGGCCCCTTTGAATTAATTACATTTTCTTACCCTACTAGCAGAACTTTTCTCTTTAAAAATAAACACCTATTTATTTTTTGTTTGTTTATTTTCAAAATTTTTTATTTTATGTCATTTTGCATCTTCAGTAAATATATCTTGGTTTAAGATTGTTTAGATATTTGTACTGGAAAACCAAACAAAAATACTTATACTTGTAATTTAATTTAATAATATTAGTAATAATATATTTTTTTGCAGTGTACAGGAATGCAGCTTTAAACCAGTGCTATTTTAGTATCATTGGTATACTAGCAGTTTTTATTATTTTGTATTTGTATTTATTGTATTTTACATTTTAATTTTAAAGTTTTAGTCAGTTGTTGTTTTTGTAATTTGTTATTAGTTTTATGTCTATATCATTTTTATTTGTTAATTTTAATTATTTTAGTGCATCAGGTTAAACTAAATGAAAATGAGAAATATTAAAATACTAAATGAAATATATGACCATATATATATATATTTATTTCTGTTAATGATTATTTCAAGTAAGATTTTTTTATTTAATGGTTTAGAATTGGTTAGATAAAAGAGGCAACTGGCTCTAGTCTTTATGCTAAAGTCGCATTTAGTTTTTTCTCCACACCATGCACGCGGATTGGTTGAACCAACCTGAAATATGCCCATTTTTGCAAAATTGAAGTACTAATAGCTGGTCGACTGTTACATAACTAGTCCTATATCCGGGTCCGAATCCCTTCGAGTGGTGGATGACTTCCTCCACAACCCCATGACTTCAGCAGTCAGAGGCCGCCGCAGGCGCCAGTGCACACACTACAGCCATTCACACTGCCCAAACACGCCGCACGGCATGCTGGGAAGGGCTAGCAGCGAGTGAGAGAGCCACTGTCTTCATGTTTACTCACCGAAGGCAGCAGTCATGGCTTTAGCTTGGTTATTTAAGGTAGTTTTCCTCCGAGGCATGGCTTATGATGGAGGAAAAGGTGAGTGTGTCGTGGACGCGTCGCTCTGAAAGACGTTACAGACGCCTCTGTTTGCTTTGTGGCAACATGAACACTCCAGCTCTTCACATTTATCTTAATTATCACGTTGCCAACGGCAAATAGAGAGAAATTCTGTGATATTAATGGTGTAAATGAAATAAACAGACTATTTTGGGCTTTCATTAACATTTTTGCACTTTCGTGAAGACTTGCCAGAGCTTGTTAGTCATAGATATGAGATTTATTTAGCTTATGCAGATTGGTATCGTTCAGGTTAATCTGGTCAAACACACCTGTCTTGACCTCTGCGCGCACACACACACACACACACACACACACACACAGGCGTGTGTCTGGTTATAGTTCTGCCACCTGGATGCGGTGAGTTGATGATTAGTGTCATATGTCTTCCGTCAGACGCAAGCTCCATTTACTTCACTACGCCTCATTTGCTGCCACAACTGAGCTCAAAACTGGCTCCAAACCCGTTAAAATCAGCCGAGGGTTTGAGTTGAAAGCTCACGGGCTTTTTAAGCAACACTTAAAAAAGCTTTAAAATCAAGCAAGGGTTTGAGCAAAAGAGCTCTGGGACTTTTTAAGCAGCATTCAGAAGTTCTATAATAGTAGTAGTATGGAACCATATCTATCTGTCTGTCTATAAATAATATAATTAGTATTATTGAACAAATTGTAATAATAATAATAATAAAAATAATATGCTATATATATATATATATATATATTAATTAAATATAATATTGTTTTTATAGCAGTTTAGAAGTCATTTTCTTCATTTTTAATTTTTTTTTTATTTTAATTCAGTGCTTTTAACTTTTAATTTAGTTATTTTAATGCTTCAAAGAGCAATTTTAGATTGTAATGTTCTAATGTTCTGCTATCTGTTCTGCAAAGGCTAGAAACTGAAAAAAAGTCAAATAATAGTGTTCCTATTGGTCAGTGTTAGTCTGCTTAGTCTGACAGTTAACCTGCTTTAGACCAGGTTAGTTTCCCAGCATACGTTGCCACAGTGACGGAAGTTGATCTATGTTAAATTTGCTTTATGGAACCAAATCGTTTGACAATGAGTCAGACTAACTGAAATAAGCCTGGCTTATTTGGTCAATTTGTTTTATGAAACAGGCCTTGAGGCATTAAAAGTGATCATATTTTTTCCATAGCATCGTATTGTCTCAAATCGCATTGTGTTGAATCGAATCGAAATCGGATCGCACTGCATCGTAATAGGGGTGAATCATATCGCATTGGTAGCTGCTTCATATGTATCTATAATGTATCATATCATTGGCCATGCATTGAGATGCGTATCGTATCGGCCTCAGTCATGAGATGCACATCCCTAATATATATATATATATATTAATTATATATAATATATAGTATTAATATTGTATGATATATAATATTTCTTAGATTTTTATAAAACATCTTGATTTAAAAAAAAAAATTTATGTTGTATGAAATTAATATCATATCATATTTTTAGATTTACTTTGATATTTATTATTCCATTACATTATTAAGTGTACATAACATGTAGACATTTTTTAAATGTATAATTATAACTACTATAATTCGTATTATTGAACAAATTGTAATAGTAGTATGATATATATATATATATGTGTGTGTGTGTGTATATATATATATATATATATATATATATAGCAATATATCTATTTATTATGCAGCATGTGTATATGTACATTTAATAATGGAATGGAATAAATTAAATGTAATATATAGTATTAATATTGTATAATATAAATAATATTGTTTAGACTTATAAAATATTTTGATTTAAAAAAATAATAATTCATATTACATGTGCTATAACAAGTCTCAGTTATATATATATATATATATATATGATCAATTAAATGTACATATACACCTAATGCATAATTAGTAGAATTACTATTATCAAACAAATAGTTGTATTTCTGTGATTATATATGATAATATAATATTATATGATGTTCCCTGTGAAGACAGATTGTCTGCAGAGTATGTAGGGAGCAGTGAACACTCTGTAGTGAAGCATCTATATACAGTGTATTAAACCCTGATGATCTGTGTTGTTTCTGTCAGACCCAGCCGGTGCCGAACCCCATGTCCTACTACATGCATCACTCGCCGTGGTGGTTTCATCGCTTCGAGACTCTCAGCAATCACTTCATCGAGCTCGTGGTGCCCTTCTTCACCTTCATGGGCCGGCGGATGTGCATGCTGAACGGAGTCCTGCAGATCCTCTTCCAGGCGCGTCTCAGAGCTTACCGTTCCCACTTACAATCACAAGTGTGAAAGCTGCCATGTCATATTTTCCAGATCATTTCAGAGCAGCTTCAGTCACAGCTTTGTTGCCATCTAGTGGCATCACTGGGTCATTTTCTTAAAGGGGTCCTATTATGCTCTTTTACAAAGTGTTGATTTTGTTTTGGGGGTGTACTAGAACAGGCTCTCAGGTTGTTCGAAAAACACATATTTTTCACCTATTTTACATTATTACAACACCTCTCGCCCCAGTCTGGCATGAACGGCTCGAATAGTTCCTGTATCAAATGAAGGCCTGCCTTCTGAAATACGAAATGTGTTGTGATTGGTTAGCTGGGCCAGTGTGTGCTGTGATTGGTTAGCTGGGCCAGTGTGTGCTGTGATTGGTTGGCTGGGCCAGTGTGTGCTGTGATTGGTTAGCTGGGCCAGTGTGTGCTGTGATTGGTTAGCTGGGCCAGTGTGTGCTGTGATTGGTTAGCTGGGCCAGTGTGTGCTGTGATTGGTTAGCTGGGCCAGTGTGTGCTGTGATTGGTTAGCTGGGCCAGTGTGTGCTGTGATTGGTTAGCTGGGCCAGTGTGTGCTGTGATTGGTTAGCTGGGACAGTGTGTGCTGTGATTGGTTAGCTGGGACAGTGTGTGCTGTGATTGGTTAGCTGGGACAGTGTGTGCTGTGATTGGTTAGCTGGGACAGTGTGTGCTGTGATTGGTTAGCTGGGACAGTGTGTGCTGTGATTGGTTAGCTGGGACAGTGTGTGCTGTGATTGGTTAGCTGGGACAGTGTGTGCTGTGATTGGTTAGCTGGGCCAGTGTGTGCTGTGATTGGTTAGCTGGGCCAGTGTGTGCTGTGATTGGTTAGCTGGGCCAGTGTGTGCTGTGATTGGTTAGCTGGGCCAGTGTGTGCTGTGATTGGTTAGCTGGGCCAGTGTGTGCTGTGATTGGTTAGCTGGGCCAGTGTGTGCTGTGATTGGTTAGCTGGG